GCTACCGAGATGAGATCTCGCCAAACAACCCTGATATAGATTCTGAGATGGAATCAAAGAGCTCCAATCCAGTGAGTAGGATTGAGGGCCTTCCGCGAAAGATAGTGATGTCGAAACATACGACTGGCATCAAGGACAGGAGGATCTGGATGACCACAGAGAGGCTTCGGGACCTTCGGTCAAAGTGCTGCTTTCCTGAGGGAGTTGAGCTTCTGCTTCCCCAAGTCCATGAGTGAGTGACAACACTGCCGGAGGATTAGTTCTGTATTTATGAGTGCCGCTTTGCGGACTTCGGCCTTCAATTCCCTATCTCATTACATCTCTGTTACTGCGAACGAAGGAAGATGCCAGTGGCGCAGATCTCTCATGCCATAATCCGCCATTTCAACAGGTTAGTGGTGGTTGCTCGGATGGCGAAGGTACCTTTCAATTGGGATATCTTTGAAAGGATATCCATTTTGAAGAAAGGGAGGCTAAATCGCGGGGGGTGGTGCCACTTTTACATTACACTGAAGCAGGGAATTGTTAGTGGGGACCCAACAAGAAAAGTTCGCGAGTGTGATCGGTTTTCCTTCTATGTGAAGATTAACAAAGCGTCAACTGGCAGCTTCGAGCTTGATTTATTCAGGATTTGGAGGTCGACGCCCTGTAAGATGAACCGATCTTTGCTGTTTCCTTATTGTTGTTTTTTTTACTTTTTTCGCTAATTTCAAGGTGTTGAGTTGCTCGTCATACTTGGCCTGCTGGGCCTGAAGGGTGTCTAGCTTGGACACCAGGTTCTGTGTGAGAGGGAGTAAGGTGGCTTGGATCGCTGCGGCGAGATCGGTTGCGAGGACAGGGGCCGGAGGTGCTCCCGCGGGTGGTGGGATCGCGATGGTAGGATTGTCGTGCTCGTCGAGAGCAGGTGTACCAATACGCGTGATGAAGTCCTCGTTGTTGAGGCTGAGGTTGCTGCTATCAGACGGAAGGCTCATCGCTTTGGATCTTCAGTTGCTAGTTTTAAGAATTTATTCTCCTATACCCCACAGACAGCGCCAATTGTTGAACTAGAAAATCACCACTAGGGATTTGATTAACAGTTGTGGGTTTCAGAGAACAAGTTCTTTATTAACAGCTTAAAGATGAAGCGATTACAAAGATTGGTATAACCGAGAGGTTATACCGAAGTGAAAAGAAAGTGTTTGCGAAGTAAACTAGAAAGCGTTGGAGTTCTTGGTTTTAGCTCTGCTGCTCTCTAGGTTGTATGAGTTATCCTTCTTGTGCTCCGAGATCTTCTTATTTATAGGAATAGGAGGGCGGTTGCTCCGAACTCCTTTTCTTTTTTTCCTTTGGTGAATATTTCTATATTTGCGATATGGAAATATCACTTGTTCTCCCAAACATATAAAAATTCTCCATTATCCTTGAATATTCCTTAAAGCCGATCCATCTTTTTGGGTCTTTGAAGATTATCTTCGAGATTTTCCTTTATGGAACTACGTCGACGTAGTCTTCCTAGTCTTGATGGGCTTGGATTATTGCTAAAGAATTTTTTTTTAAGAAATGTGATCATTTTCCCTCTAACAATGGGGAAACCACTAAAATTGATGTGGTTGTATTCAACCAGGAGTTTGTGGATGAGTACCAGGTTTGTTTTGAAGACAACTTCAAATTTTTTTGGTCATTCACGATTGGTTGATTACTTGTGACTAGATTTCGTTTTAAGATTTTTAAAGCTTTTCATAACAATCTTAGTATTTGTTTATAGTTTTTTTTAACGTTTAAATTAATTAAACCGTATAACGATATGAATATCTATTTAATTTTTTTTAAATAAATTTTTATTTTAGTCTAAAACATAACAGGCGGGTTAGAATCACGGTTATTTCTCCTGTATTAGAAACAGTTTAGAATTACCGAAGAAAAATTATTGAAGTTTGGATTAGGTGAGGAGATAACTTTATCACTACATCCACATAAGTTATATGTTACTCTTCCTGTTAATGGCATCTGCATAACTTTTTTTGTTTTGTTGTTGTCGCAAAGTTCAAAGGATGGAATTCTCCAATTATAAAACTGTTGCTAATATATATATATATAAAGTAAGTTTTTCTCTCTTCTGGTGCTGCCACATCATCTTCCACCTCAGCATCCAATATTTAATAACAAACACTATATAACTTAAATTTAAATTTTACTATTAAACTCAGTCCATTAAACTTAAATTCCATGCAACCAACAGTATTTGACCAATAGCAAAAGCCCAAAATTACATCAAATAATATACTATAAATCTCTTATATAATTATAAACTTCATGATGAAACAAATTACAGCAATAACAACCTACATAATAACATTCAGTTTATACATCAGTTTTTGTTATGACAAATAAAATTAGAAAACAATAAAAAGACAACTTTTTATCAAACTCAACCACAACAATTAAAAACAATAACCAAAAACTGTTAACTGATGATAGGTATCACAATTGAGGTGGGAAAAACTTTGATAAATAATCTAATCTACCACCAATTTAACCAAAACAGACTCAAATATATGTCAACGACCATAGTATGAAACTTTGAAATAAAAGTATACACAACTCAAAATAAGTAGATAATTTAATAGAATAAATTAAATAAATTTAAATAATAACATTTGAAAACCGGGAACAAGAATCATCTCTCAAAACCGATGTCGCAAGTAGAACCACATCAAACAATAGAACTTACAGCAACATTTGGTGAGAAAAGAGAGAAAGAAACAATACAATTACGCCTACCAAATATATAAAGTTATTTTTCTTCACTTTTTATTTTGCCACTTAACCATCTATCTCATACTTAAAACATTTCACTAACACAAACTATATAATTTAAAATCAAATTTCACTATTAAATTTAGTCCACAAAACCTAAAATCCCATAAGCGCATCTGACATTTGACCAATAGCACAAGCGCAACTTACACAAATTACAATACCATATATATAAAAGAGAAGAGGAAGAATTCTCCTGAATCATGTAAAATACAACAATCAAAACTATTTGACAACCTACAAAAATTACATGCAATTTTTAAATCAATTCAAAGTTATGACAAAAAAATTAGTAAAGAAAAAAAGAAAAAAATTACAATCTAATCCAACTGCAAAAAATGAAAAAAAAATTAATAACCAAATTTTATTAACAAATCATATGTACACTTAATTGAGGTCAGAAAAACTTTGATAAATAATCCAACTAAACACAAATTTAACCAAAACACTTCAATATATATATATCAGCATCCAAAATATGGAATTTTGAAATACAAGTTTTGGAAACCCCAAAAAACAAACTAATAACAAAATAATTTAATAGAGTAGATTTATAATTTTAAATGAATAATATTTGCAAGCTGTGAGCAAGAAATCGTCCATAAAAACAGATGCACATTAAGAAAACCATCAAACAATAAGATCATAGTGACATTAGGTTAGAAAAGAGAAAAAACAAATTAAAAATAATCAAGTTAATGTCAAACTAAAAAAAACGTAGATAGATCCTTAACACAAAAGTATGTATAAAAACAAGATAAACATAACATCACAACAAAAGAATATATATATGGATAACTAAATATTAAATAATATATATATACATAAAGTAGATAGAAAACAAAATATATAATAAGAATTTTTGTAAAAAAAAAGAATATAATAATAAGCAAAAAATATGAAATACAAATAGCCTAAAAATGATTGGTAAATCACTTATGATAGCAAAAAATAATGATTTATTGAAGATCAAAACTCAAGACATACAACATTTTAAGAATTAAAATAGCAGATAAAAGAAAAAACATTTCATATTTAAGCAACACGAAACCAAATAATGAAATCAAACAATAAATTACAACTAAAATTTAACAACAAATAAAATTCTCGCGCGAAGCGCGAGTCAACAACTAGTTTGATATAAAACTTTGGATAGTTTTATTGGGAACCTAAAGATATTTAGCCAATAACACAAAGAAAATTGATCACATTTGATTGTTATAAAACTTTTAAAAACACAACTATACTTTCTTCAAAAAAAAAACTAAAACTCAAATTTGTTTTTTCTTAAAATTGACTTCTGTTCTCATAGATGAGGAAAGATGAGATTATATTTTTTTATTACCCTCACTTAGAATTAGTTTTATTTAGATTTAAATCTTTATTTGGAGTATTTCTATTAGGAATATTTCATATAGTATCTTTAATAATATTAAATAATAAATAATACTATTATATTATTTGAGTTTATATTATCATGTGATACAAACCCTTAAATAGACATGTTCTTATGGGTTTTAATTAAATAAAAAGTATACAACTTTCACATGGCTCACTTTTTGGTATTAAAACATAAGATAATTGTTTTCACATGATCTAAGTTATGATCAAATCAATATCATTAATGTTATCTATTTTATATAGATCTGTTATAACCAACTAAATAGAGATATTTTTCACCATTTTTAAGGCAAAGAATAGAAGATAAAGATTAGAAGAAGATCAATCAGGAAATTTATGGTTGGAATAAGGGTTTTTAGTAATAAAACCCTCAAGTAAATATGGATCGTAATAAAAATCCCTCAACTACTAATTTATTAATAAAACTCCTCACATTTATGTTCGTTAATGTCAGTCCCCCTCTGTCTATATTGACGTTTAAACACAACGGAATCCTGTTAAATCTAAACGCTGCATTTTGTATAAATGGAGAACGACACCCTTTTTCTCTTTGTAAACCATCGACAACTTCATCTTCAAAGAAACTGAAAAATCCCCAAATTAAAATTTAGGGTTCTTCATCCATTACTGACATTGGAGCTCGGGTAAGTGGAATTTTTATGCTTTTAAATGCTATTGTCCATATTTACACTAGATTTTGTCTTTATCCATCAGTTAAGCTAACTTCTTCTCTCTTTTTTTCAGCGTGTAGAAATAAAATTGAAGCGTGAACAGGGTAAAATTCGAGTTTGAAGAGGTTCATGGAGATGGAAATAGGTCCTGGAATACCTAGGAAGTGCCAGTGTGGAGCATTAACAATTGTGTTAAAATCTAAAACAACACAGAATCCTGGAAGAAAATTCTATCAATGTGGAGCAATTTCGGGTCCAAATCACGTTTTCAAGTGGCTGGATGAAGCACATCTTGAAGAATTTGATGTTTTGGCAAAGAAATAGTCGCTAATGGAGCAAGATTTGGCTGAGATAAAAAAAGACATAGTTGATATGAAAAAGACATGTTTGAAATCATTGGAGTGATTGAGAGTCTTAGAACAAAGTTTTAGAGTTTGGTGTCGTTGTATTAAGATTTAGAATGTTATAACTTGGTTGCAGAAGTAAGTTTCTAGAAGTGTCATGGCTTGGTTCCAAAAGTAAGTGTTAGTGTAAGGTCCATTTGGTTTCAGTTTGGTGTCATTCGAATGATGTTTTAGAATTGTCTTGGTTTAGTGTTTTAGTTTGATGATTGATTATGTATTGGATGTCTCATTTTTAATATAATTTTATAGTTTTGTATCATTTTGAAAGGCAAAGAAAGGGAATAACAAAAAGTTCCATAAAAAGCATACTTCTCAAATTTTATATTCACAGCATACTTCTCTATACTCTCCTTACATTTCTCTTTCAAAACAAACTCTTGGCCTACATAAAACTCTATTGCAGCATCACTCTCAGGTTCCTCATCACTCTCAACATAATCATCACAATAAAAGTTAGGAAGTTCACCATCATTCTCAGGTTCCTCATCTTCTTCCACTTCTCCAATAAGAACATCATCTAGATAAGGATCATCAGCCCTAACACAGTATAAATTCAAGCTATCCAACTCAAGTGAAGAAGTTATCATTTCTGCAACATCCCTATCACCATCCAAGTCCATACGATTCTGACCTACGACGCCATATGGGAAATAAGAAAACTTACTCATATTTTCGGCAAAACCAGAGCTAGAAACCATATTCACCAATATTGCTAAACTCGGCTCTTGATAATCAACCCTACAACTTCTGCTCTCACCACCATTATATGAACCATATGCTGCCCAATATCCTCCCACATGTAAACGGAAGAAAGTTGTCCTGTATAGAAACCATATGTGCTTATCACTCGTCAATTTATTGGTCAAGAAACGAAACCAAAAAAGCAACGATAAACGAAATCACAACTACTAAAATTGAAACATAAGGAGTAAGAGATCATGATACACAATCACCTGATCATCTTGCAAGCTCCTTAGACTTCTAAACTTCTAAAGTTGTTCTTTCAATTCTTTAGATTTTCTCTCGAATTTGAAGTAATGGATTGAAGAAATCACTCTCAATCTCACCGAATCGACATCGAAACTACTGAAATTTCAGAGAATATCACTTTCAGAAGTTTGGGTTCATCGATTTGAGTTTTGCTTTGTGGGTTCTAGGATCTTCGATGAATTTGGGGATTTTGATTCAGGTTTTTAAACATCATGCAGTTTTGTTCACAAGTCATGTTGTTTTAGTAGACACAAAACATGTTTTTTATATATACAAAACGCAACCGTTTAGATTTAACAGGGTTCCGTTGTGTTTTAACGTCATTGTAGACAGAGGGGGACTGATATTAATGAACATAAACGTGAGAGATTTTATTAATAAATTAGTAGTTGAGAGATTTTATTACGATCCATCTTTACTTGAGGGGTTTTATTACTAAAAATTCTTAGAATAACAATAAAATCCCATTTCAAATGTGCTAAAAAGATTAAAATATTGGTTTGAAATTCAAAATAAAACAATATATTTAGCTGGCTTAATAATAAATTTAAAATAAAATTTTCAAATGAGTTAAATATTTTAAAAACAAAACCCGTTAGACACAATATTTTGATATGAGCTTCAAAATTAAACAATCTACTCAACTAGCTCAAAATGTTAGTAATAATAAATAAATTTTAAATAAAAATGTTGAATAAGAAAAAAATAAAAAAATAAATCTATGCATATGCGTGGATCCAAAAACTAGTACATCCTTTAGAAAAGGAAGATGATTGAGATTTATTGTCTATACAATATATATATACTAGGTGATCGGTCCGCACACACGGTGCGGACTATAAAATAATTTATATGATTAATATATAATTAATATTGTATATTGATGATATTCTATTTGTACATAATATATATATATATATATATATATATTTTGATCTATTGTTAATTAAACCAAATTGAGTTTTACCATCTTTACTTATCCAAAGAGCGGATAGATGGTTGCACTGTAATCGAGGTTAACAAATTTCATGGACGACAAATTCGTATGGGACTTTGACTTTTGCATAATTAATATTTATATTCATACGCACATTTGTGGAAAAGATGAGTATGGTTTTCATGTGTTAAAAGAAAATAGCAATGTATATGTTTTGTAATATATATATACATATATATTTATAATATGTTATGATTGAATTTTATAAAAGAAATAAATATGCATATATATGCATGTAAGTATGAGTTAGAAATAAGTAAATTGTAATATTTAGGTGTTGGTTAGTTTTTCTGATATTTTCCGCAAACATTATGTTTTTACACAATACAGTTTTCGGCTTTTATCAACAATCACGAAAATCATTTCTATCGTTTAGTATTAAATCAAAATTTATTATTTTCAGCAATTTTTGTTTTTGATAAATTATTTTTCTGCGTTTTGTGATATATAATTTCAAATTAAAAATTAAATTAAATATTAACAAAAATTACAAAAAACTCTAAAAAAATAAAACATAAGATTTCACTTTATCAAGAAGATAAATATAGTACATTAGATAATCCATTAGTAATTTTTCTTTTCAATAAAAATTATGATAAGAATTTGTTATGAAATTTTTGAAATCATATTTTTATAAAAGCAAGTGTATATTATAAAATTTGGTATACACATGTGTTCATTAAAAATAACGCGTCTTTTTAAGTTTTTTTAAATAACTTTGTCAAACAAACTGCAATATTTTTACGAAAAACTAAAACAGTAAAGATTTATGTTTGTTTTTACTTCTTCTTTATATTTGTTTCATCTTATTATCATTTATTCTTTCATTCGATTATTTTTATTTTATTTATGATCTTAAATTCTCATCTTATTATCATTTTATTTATGATCTTAAATTCTCATCTTTTTATATTTGTTTCATCTTAAATCTTTTATTTTAAATTTACATAGTTTTTATTTTATTTATACAATGAAAATGCATATATACATATGAATATGATATAAACTTTTCTTTTTATGTAAAATATGATAAGAGAGAAGATGAGATGGTAACAAAAACTATGTAAATTTAAAAAGACAGCAGTATAAAAAGTGTTAAAATTATATACAAATATATGGTCATATTAATACTATAAAATAGTAATAATTAGTATATACTTTATTTATTTGCCATAATAAGTAATGGTTCGAACAAACAAATTATTTTAAGTTATGTTACTTTTTAAACTTTCAATAAAAGTTAATTATTATTTTATTATTTTTAAATCTTTTTATTCTTTAAATTATTGTATCATGATTCTATTTTATTTTAAATTCTACTATTTAATAATGTATCTAATTTAAACCTTTTTAGATGTTATTATTATAAATTTTTATAAATTAATAACTTTCCAAAATAAGAATATATCATACTTTAAACATTATTAATATATATAATATTTATTATCTTATTGGATAATCTAATATTATATATTTTTTCTTTTAATATGAAATTATAATATATAAATTTGTATATGTATTGTAAAATTTTCGTACTAATACTTTATCTAATTATGAATATGTAAAAAAATTAATCATAATAATTATCTTTTTTGTTACTTTAAAATTATTTATAATCTTAAATAATTTCAAGTTTCTTTAATTTTTTATGTTAAATTCCAAGTTTCTTTAATTTTAATTCAACCAATCAAAACATTTCGTTTATTTTAGGAAATTTGACATGTCACATTTACATGTCATCAATACAATACACTAACTTTGATTGTGAGTGTGATACATCAGCAATTTTTACTAATTCTACTTCTCAAATAATGTATAGGGGATATATATTGTTTCGTAAGAAATTTTCATAATCATTGGAGAAAAAAATAAGAAACAGAAAGACGTACGCATACAGATGAGTCAGAGACGGTTAGGTCGATAACAATGTTTCATAATCCCTCTCCCTTCCGGTCAAAGCCAACTAAAGAAGAAGCTATAAAGAACCAAAACGACGTAGCGTTGATCCTTTCGAACCATCTCTTCTCTACTAAAGCCAAACACTCTAACACCGTTTTCTCGCCGGCGTCGATAATCGCCGCCCTAACTTTGGCGGCATCTGGTCCCGGCGGTTCTTCAATCGCCGGCGATATCCTCTCCTTCCTGAGGTCTTCTTCAATCGATGAGCTCAACGCCGTCTTCAGCGAGGTTGTCTCCGTCGTCTTTGCGGACCGTAGCGCAAACGGCGGTCCAAAGATCTCGTCGGTCAATGGCGTCTGGATCGAGCAATCGCTACCGATTGATTCATCAGGGTTCAAGGTTCTCTTCGAGAATCTCTTCAAGGCTAGTTTCGATCTCGTTGATTTCCGATCAAAGGTAATCTCAATCTCTCCTTTAATTTTCTCAACAGCTTCTGTGATGCGATTCCTTAATTTGACCTAGACGAATATATAATTAGCAAAACTGTAGATTTAACGAGATGAATTTCTAAGCTGTGATCCTTGATTTTTCGCAGTTTCAATTCAAAATCAAATTCTGATCTTCATAATTGGTTTTCTGATTTTGGTTTTCTTTTGTTTGTTTTGAAAAATTAGGCTGAAGAAGTGCGTGTGGAATTGAATACATGGGCTTCAAATCACACGAATGGTCTCATCAAAGATCTTCTTCCTTCTGGATCAATTACAGAGCTAACGGACATCGTTTATGGGAACGCATTGTACTTCAAAGGAGAATGGGAAGTTCCATTCGACAAGTCCCACACGAGAGACGGGGAGTTTCACCTTCTCAATGGAACCTCAGTGTCTGTGCCATTCATGAGCAGCTACAAGAAGCAATACATAGCACCTTATGATGGTTTCAAGGTCCTGAGGATACCTTATCGACAAGGCGGCGACGATACCAATCGCTGCTTCTCTTATGGACAAGGCTTTGGTGACAATACCAAACGCGACGGCTTCTCGATGTATTTCTATCTCCCGGACAAGAAGGATGGATTGGATGATCTTGTGAAGACGATGGCATCTACTTCTGGATTCTTGGATGATCACGTTCCACGTTTCAAAGAATCTGTTAGTCAATTCAGAATCCCAAAGTTTAAGATCGATTACTCAGCAAACGGTGGAGAGTTGGGATTTAATTCACTGTCCTTGCACCATAAAGCATATGTGGAGATCGATGAAGAAGGCACTGAAGCTGCTGCTGCCACTTTTGTAACGGTTTTTGGGGGCGTCCCTAGATATGTAGATTTTGTGGCAGATCATCCATTTTTGTTCTTGATTAGAGAGGACAAAACTGGAACTGTCTTGTTCGTTGGTCAGATCTTCGATCCTTCTATCAAATCTTCTTAGGCTCTAAGGGGTTAGGTTCAACCGGCATTTTGGTTTGGTTATATGGAAAAGAAAAAGTGGAAATATAGGGAGGGTTTTTTGTTTGAGCTTTTTTAATTCTTTTGTGTTTTTGGCAGTTTGAGGTTTTTAAATCCAAATCTTGAATTTATGAATCAATAAAATTAAGATTTAAATGCTTGGTTTCATCATAAATGCTCTAGCATCGTCTCATTGCATGATCTTTACTTGGTTTTACGTTCTCAGTTCTCACCTGTAATAATTGGGAAAACTGAAAAAAAAAAATGAAAGTTGTATATGTCTGTAGTTTGAATTTGACAAACAGAGAAACTGGACCCTCTCCCTCCTTTAGAGAGTTTCGGGGTGGAGTTTCTCTTTGAAGCAGAAAGATACAGCTTCGAGAGTGAACTATATGATACAAACAAAAATGAGATTGTTTTGTCTCTCGAGCTTGTGCTTGTTTTGGTTTTAGATAGATCGTAGTGAACAGAGGCTATAACCGGAAGCCAAGGAGCAAAAGGCGAATGAGACAAAGGAGACGAAAGACAATGAGACAGATGCTCTAGCTAAGTCTGGGAACTTGTCTACTCCCCAGTTTGATAGCCAATCATCTACACGGATCGAAGCTGAAGTTGAAGCCGATGCAAGAAGATACGCTATCATCTGCAACATCAAAAAAACATTTTAAAAATCCTAAGAATTTAGCGGAGGTAATGATCAATGATATGCCATCAAACAGAGACGAACACTAAGCTTATGTACAAGAATCAGAAACAATAAGCTGAAAAATGATTGAAATGATTTCACAAGCAAATCACATTTTTGGTTATACACTCTTCAGACTCGAAGCATTTTAAGATCTTGTACATATTTTTGGTAAGGCAACACCTAAGCAGTACATCAGCGTGAAGCGAAGCGTGTTTGAAACAAAACTGACGACGAAAGGATCGATTTGACAAGGACCAAGTCTATAGGTGTATTCAGAAAACTAAAACATCTGTCTGAACCTTCTAATTAGCTCTATGCGCGTCAAGTCTCAAGCTTTCGGTTTTGTTTATATTCAGGTCACTACCATTTGTGCGCAGATACAAGTAAACAGAGTTTCAATCACATATAGAGACTGAGGAAACGTACTTGATCAAGAGCAAATTCCAAGAAATGTCGGAGGTTGTGCCGTGATCTGCGAATGCTAGTAGATAATAGATAGAGGAGATCACATATCATAAAAGCTGAGTAGACAAAACCAATCACATTCGCAGCCAAACAGAACCTGCAACCAAAAATGCCAAGCAAACGCATGAACAAATCAACTCTAGGAAAAATTTACAAGAGTTATTAGCAGTTTAGAAAGTACTCTAAAGAAAAAAGTATTATGATTTCGCTACAACAGGTCATTAGATTACTTCATTAGCTTAAAGTAAACGACTTCCATTAGCTAAGATATGAATGTTTGGATTCTTCCCCTTCTGAAATTCTCCTGATACTTCAAATTCGATGCACTCTGAAGCCAGAAAGTACTAAATTTCACCTAAACTGTTTCAATATGACTCTGATTCAGAAAAATAAGCTAGAAAGTAGGAGACATCCACGGCTAGTTTCAAGAGAAAACTTCAAATTTCAAACAGTGGTTAGACCAAATCAGAGCCATCTAAGAACCTAAAGCTGATTCTTCTTCTAAACATCTTCAGAAACTACAAATTCAATGTTATAGTGAAGCTACAAAGTAGGAAACTTTAACCTGAACTCTTTGTATTTGTAGAAAGAATCACGAGCCCATCCTTTATCTCTATCAGCAACCATAACGGAAAACGAAACGAGACAGGACACGAAAGCAGAAACCCTAAATCCAAGCAAGGCTTTCCTAACAAAACTCGCCCATTTCGATTCACGCGGCGTAGAGAAGCTCGGTCTCAGTTGCCTCCTGCTCTCGCCGAGTTTCTGCTCCGTGAAGTCTTCGTTTGTAATCCTAAAAGGAGTCTCGTTCTTCGCCGCGACGGAAGCCACGGACGGAGTCGGGACGATCGTGTGAGGTGAAGATCCATGGCTATCGGGGATTGAAGAGACGGTGGGTGAATCAGGAGGAGAATCAACCGTCGTTGGTGGTAATGAGTGAAGCGATGATCTAGAAGACATCTCTGGGTTACGATTGTTGACTGGAGATTTCGCAGATGGAGAAAACTGGTCTTGTTGTTGTTTTCTGTCGCCTTCTTCCTCCTGTTGCTTCTTCTTATTCTCCTTCTGCAATTTCTGCGTCTTTTCTTCTTCTTCTTCCATTTTTCGTTGATATTTTTTGGGTTTTTTTAATAATTTTTTGCCAGCGGAAGTGATGAAGTAAACTCTCCCACTGTCTCTGGTCAATGCTCTAATGGGGAAGAAGACGAGAAAGACAAACTTTAAAAATAAATGTTTGCAAACAAGGAACTTGACTTTATTCTTTCTCGCACTTTTAACCCGAACTATTAAAATTCCCATTAACTTTCTTGCACTTTTCAACGTAAAACTATATTTTTCACATAAAAGTCCCAAAATATGCTTGTGTGAGAATACAAATCATAAAATTGTGTGCTTCCTTGATTTAAAAACTGCTAATTTTTTCATTCACAGGTTTTTAACCATTCCCAATAGTGCTAGAGAATTCTCTAAATTAATGACCGAGGATGCAAGTCTTTCAACAATTATCAAATTCTTTGAATCGTAATATGATAAAAAAAAAATCACATTTAAAAAGAAAAAGAAAAAATACAATAGCTTTTAATGTTAAATTAGTATAAACATACAATACAACACTAAGAAAACTCTCGTACAATCAGGCTTAGGAGTTTTTCCACATATGTGGCGCGAGAACAGGTCATGCTGCTTAATGAAAGAAGAACTCGATGGCTTCATTGTACTGATCCATGACCACGTTGTGGAGGAGGTGAACAGGTTCAAGGTGATTCGCGTAGCCACCCAAAATGTCACGCGTCAAAGGAGGAGTGTCCTCGTCTTTCGACCAAGCGTGCTGAGCCACGGACAGACCGCTTAGGCAATAACATGTGTGGTAGAAGTCACGGGATTTACTCGGCTTGTCCCTGAATCCACCACCATGGACCTAAAAACCATAATGTTCAGAAATAAGCATACAAATGTGTACTGTAAACTTGAGTAGATAATTTGTTCTGGTGTTAAAGAGAAACTAAGAACTGACCTTAGAGCACAAGAGCACATATCTCTGCAACCCGAGGCTGTCAAATATTGGTTGCATCCTCCTGTCAGTGTGGGTAGATGTATGATGGACTCCGTGACAATTCCCTGAATCTAAAAACATACCATTAAAAAATCAGCTGTGTTTTGGATTATTAGATGGACTCGATGGTATGATAAAATCAAGCATTATTACCTTCGGAATCTTCGTTGTCTTCATCAGAACCATCATCAACATCATCACTGTCTTCAGGGTCAACTTCATCATGAGCATGCTCCTCGTGATGCCCATGAAATACCAGATCATGGGCTAAAAAAAATTTTTTTAGTAGAACACAAGGGGCTGCCTGTTTAACATGTACCAAAAAGACAAGATAATGACAGTGATGAGTATACGAGAATTTTGGAGTAGGACTTATAATCACGGTTAAAAATTAAACGAGGATACAATGAGAATTAGAAGATTGACCTGCCAAAAAGTGTAGCAACCATCGACCAATTTGTTCGTCCTACCTTGAAATCCCATTTCCACTCCTTGTCGATGTACAACCCAATTCTAATATCATCAGAAAATTAATTTGTGAGAGAAAAAAAATATCTCATTCAAGGATGTTCCATTAATCATCTCAAAAAAGCATTTGTAAGTTACCATTAATGAATCCAAATTCAAACGGTCGACTTCATTGATTAAAATCATAGTAGCCAATCCACAGTAGGTGTACCTAAACAACAAATTACAAAGGTAACAACTCAACATTTCGGGAAGTAAATTAATAGGTAACCATGAATAACCACGATGTCATCGAGGAAGAGAGGCCATACCCACCATGAGCTTCGGAGCCAGGTTCCCCTCCAATGCCACCTTCGTAAGTTTGGCAACTGCTTGAAATAAAGTGAGTTAAAAGGGCTTTGGCAAGAGAAATCAATAAATTCATGAACTTACTATTATGTAACAGTTGTTCAGCTTTAAATAATGTGAGATCAAAGTAACATGAAAAGTTACCTCAAGATGTAATCTCCTAAGCCTCGGGTGAGTTCATCATCCATAATATTCAGAATGCTTGCAACCTGTGTCAGAAGAGAAGTAACCATATCAGGGGAAAAACTAACCATAGGATGCAAGACTTTTAAGGCTCAATACGAGTCATTAGATCATTAACCATATCCTAATGTGACATTAAAGCCACGATATTGGAAGATACATAGCAAAATGGGCCCTGAGTTTTGCTGATCTCATTGAGCCTAAACCTAAAAATGTCCGCAAGAAGAGAGAACACAAAATTGGGAGTTGGTAAAACTCACCGAAATCGCAGTGTAGCACGCTCGAATATCTATTTCTCCCATATCATGCATCCTAATGATCAGTGAGTACGTCAGAATTTGGAGGGCAATACTATAGTAAACGAATTGCATGAAATTGAAAAAGAGACAAGCAACCCAACATGACTGAAACTATGACATTAACAGCAATGAGAATGCATAAATAAAGAGAGTGCTTTTCAGCAACAATGATGCCTTAAAGAAGTTCAAGCAGAAAGAGAATCAAACCTGAAACCTCCATTTGTATCCTTCATTCGTCTTAAGAAACAAGACATTTTTTCTCTGAAAAATTATAAGACACATGTAAGTCTTCTATAGGGACGAATCAGTTCTCACTTAATAAAAAAAAGAAACTGACGGTAAAAAAAAACAGAATGCACCACCTGTTAATTGAAGAAAGGGCTTTGTCACCACCTAAAGTAACAAGTGCATTCACTGCAGCATAAGTTGTAGCAAGATGTGGAAGCTGTGAAGAAAAAAAAAATCACCATTACTAGTGGACAAGAGAGCAAGAAGAAACTGAAATCGTACTGTATATCCTAACTTTATCTGCCATGTTTGGAAGAGGAAGATTTACTACCAAACAATGAGAGAATGCATCAAATCTCACTACGACAAAGAGATCTAGCAAAATAAAACTATCTGGTCTTTTCTAAATTTTAAGTTTCCAATTTCATAAAATAATACTTACTTGGCCAGGACCACCACCGTATCCACCATCAGAATCCTAAACAAGCAACAACGCGTGAAAGTAGAATAAGTACCAAGTGATCAATTACAGGTCATAATAAAAAGGAGATGCAGAACAAAAAGAAAGGAACTTGAAAACTCCTAACCTGGCAGCGTCCAAGAAAGTCGATGGTATTGTTTTCTAATTCATCATCCACAGAATCCCCAAGCAAGGCAATTGAATGAAGAATCCAGTAGCAAATCCAAGGTCGACTGTGCAAAATCCAAAATCCAAAATTCAAAATCCAACTTAATCTATTTGTCATAAGAAAATCTTGAACATGTGAATATCTAAATCCTCCCAACGACTACTAAATGAAGATAATTCGAAGAACAAAAGCAACTTTTGAACTTCTAATTCAAAATCCATCAAAACAACAGACCAAAGGATCGTTTTTTAGAAAGGAGAAGATACGTACTTGGCATCTAATGACGAAAACGATGGACTTAGCTTTCGCAAGCCGTCCATTAGATAATCCAACTGCTTGTCTCGCTGAATCTCCACCCTATGAACAACAACTTCCATCAGTAGGATTCACCTCTCGAAGAAATGTACCTCACAACACTACTTAGATTCATCAGATTATGAAGAACACTAAGTAAAAAAAAAAGCAAATCAAATCCGGCACAAAGAAACGATCGATTTTTACAAGAATTTCTGAGAAGCAAAGTCGCTAGCGTTAAAGCAACTGTATATCCCGAACACATCGTTCTCCACAAGAAACTGCTCGCGCTGACTCACGGTTATCCTCGAAAGCTCTTCCATCACTCCGCCGCGTTGAATCGCTGTCTCAGACTTACTTTCTCTCTCTCCGTCGTCGCCGAGTCACCTTCGCCGATTTTAAGTATATAATGAATTCTTTTTTCTTTCAATAATTTGTAAATTTAGGAAATGGAAATTTGCAGAATATAGCAATAGATTTCCATTTAATGCAACGAATAACCGGATCTTTTTAAATGCCAATTTTTGGTTCCGGTTCTACTTACTCCGGTAGTTACAATTTAAATGTACCATCAGCTGTTCGGTTTAGATACAATTATCATGCTCCGGATATCCCGAACTGTCACTATGAACCCACTTATCCACCACCAGTCCACAACCAAATCACCTCTAACTGAATTTTATTTTTTTAATGATATTCTTAACTTGATGAAATTAGATATCGTAAATTTGCAGAGTATAGCCCTATATTTCAATCTAATGCAAGGAATATCATGTTTACTAAAATAGGACGTATAACAACCCCCAAATTCTGTAATACTACAATAGACCAAAACACTTGCATTTTTACAACGGTGCTGATTTGTCACAAGAAAGTTTTTTTATATTTGTTTAATTGATTTGACCGAATGCATTAGATTAAAAAAATTATAAATTAACTGTTGTTGATATTAGATCTTGCAATGTATATATCTCGTATTCTTGATTTGGTATAGATTTTACACTAACATATCAGTTCAGTAAGTGTAAGATCTATCTATTGAAATAGTAAAAAAGTTTATAGTCAAATACATTTAAAAACATGGTGAATAATCCTATTTCATCATTAGTTTGATAATTTATTCACCATTTAATAATAATGAATTGTAAATGATGAAGGAGAAAGATTTTGCGAAAAAAAAAATCATTTGTTATTAAAGACTAACTCAACCCCCTAAATTTAGTTACAAATATTTGATTGTTAAGATTCTTACAGTTGATAACAATTGTTAATATATATAATAACGACCATTATAAAAGTAGCATTACATTAAAACTCTCTATAATTAGAAAATCAATCAAAATGTATGCCCATATGCCACGTCCAAACCGTGATGATCCAGTTTAGTGTCCCGGTTTATTTGTCAACAAGAAAAAAAAATACTTAGAATAGTACTTGAGGTTTAGGGTTTATTTGAAGAAATTTTAAAAGTTCCTCGGTTTTTCTTAGAATAAAAGATAAGTATGGGGCTCTATTTTATTAAAAGGAATAATGGAATATCAATCGCGTACAAACGGCAAAAAAGGCCTTAAAGATACTCTCTCTCTCTATATCTCTCCTCAACTCCTGCAAGCTTAAAATTCAAATCGCTTTCTCAATTTGCGGTTACCATTTTCAGTTTCTCTAGACGCACTGCATCCCCGGAGATATAGCGAGCGACGTGAAATTCACACTGATGGGAGCGTACAACGAAGACCTAAATTTGCCGGTGTACTCCGCCGGCGTTCCGACGGACGAGCCCCGGTTCAGCAAGCATGTGTACGACAACGTTCATGGAAATATATATCTCGATCCTGTAAGTTTGCTTAAACTCTCTCCGTTTCCTGTTTCCGTCGTTCCTAATCGTTCGTTTCCGAGATAAGGAGGCCGGAACTCTATCTGCTACGCTCTCGCTCTGAATAACTGTTTATATGGAGATTTTCCGTAGAATTTCCGGTGACTTTTGTTCGACTTGGAATCTGGATAATGTTTTCTTCATATTTGATTTCTCGCCTTTATTTTTGAAGCTCGTTGGATAGGGATTCATGTTTATCGGAGGAATTTATAACTAGTTTAAGGAATGTATGGTTGAGTTTTTAGTCGCGTAGATATTTGATGAATCGAACCGCAAAAAAAGCTACTGAATCGGATTTTCTGTGATGCGGTTCTTCTTTGTATTTCTAACTTTGATTTCTCTGTGGTGCGAGTTTTTGTCTTTTGCCGATTTAGCTTTGATTTCAATTTCTCTAATCCACTATTGACTTCCGTTCATAAGTCTTTGAAGTCTCAGCACAAATGTTGCTTTTCCGTTGACTCAGTATGTCATACGTACTAATACTCCATCTTGATTTGCAGCTTTGTTTGAAATTCATTGACACAGAGCAGTTTCAGAGGTGAGTTCTTGGATTGTGCTCGTTTCTATGATATCATTTCGACGACTTGTTAAAACCATAGTGTTCTGATTCTCTAATCTAATTCCTTGTGGCAGGCTTCGTGAACTAAAGCAGCTTGGTGAGTTGGCTTGTGTTTTGTACTCAAGTTGCCTCTTCTCTTGTTAATAAGCGAGGCTGGTCTTGTTTTGACTATTTTTCCCCTCAATAAAGAAGCATTTATCTTGAGATTCCTCCAAACTTTTGTATCAATTGTTTAGGATGTTCTTCGCTTATGTTCATAGTTCTAATTGTAATTAGTCTCGAGTGGTGTATCTTCTTTCTCTGAGGAAATGTTTTTACATGGTTCAGGAGTGACGAACATGGTTTATCCTGGAGCTGTGCATTCTAGATTTGAGCACTCTCTAGGCGTCTATTGGCTTGCAGGCGAAACTGTTCAGAGGCTTAAAAATTTCCAGGTATTGGAAATCTTGTACAAGTTTCTGTGGTACAGTCACATTTTGTTCAAGTACGGTGTAAGGTTGTAATGTATGTTCTTTACCTTTTATAGGGAATGGAGCTTGATATTGATAAATATGATCTTCAGACTGTGCGACTTGCTGGTAACTATTGTTAGCTCAGTGATTACATTATTTCTTTGATACCATTTCTGATATCTGTTTGTATGTGTAGGACTACTCCATGATATTGGCCATGGGCCTTTCAGTCATATGTTTGAGCGTGAGTTCCTCCCAAAGGTCATAAGTAACTCGCAGTGGTATGCTACACATTCCTTGAAAATATCAATGCCATGGTGTTTCTTTATATGATATTAGAATTATGCCTTAAATTTTTAGTACTTTGGCTCTCTGGATTATGCTTCTGTCTGGCTCTTTTTATATGCCAGTTATTGTATGCAGGTCTCATGAGTCAATGTCCATAAAAATGATTGACCATATCGTTGACACACATCATATCGATGTTGATGCACACATGCTGAAAAGAGTGAAGGTAATTTCCTTTCTTAAGGACTATTTTGCTTCTCTCAAATGGCCTCTAGTATTGGAAACTGGAATCTGTGCCATTAGTTTCAGTCTTTACAAATCCAGTCTATTTTTTCTTGCTTCCTTTCCCTCTTTGCTGATGATTTTTCTCAAATGTTTACTTAACAGGATATGATCCTAGCTAGTACTGAATTTTCACAGCTGAGAGTAAGTCTTATAACAGTCATGCTCTCTATTCTAGTCAAACATGAACATCTACATGTACTTCGTATATATTTTTATTTTCTGATTATTTTTTCAGAGCAATGCAGAGAAACGTTTCCTGTATGACATCGTTGCTAATGGTCGAAACGGGATTGATGTGGACAAGTAATTCTATCTACTCTTTAGTTGTATTCTTCTCTGCTGTTTCTTTCTTTTCCTTTTAACTCATAATGATGCTTAGATTTGCACCTTCGTCTTAGCAAGTCAATTTTAATTGTCAACAATATTTTACAGGTTTGACTACCTTGTCCGTGATTCTCGAGCTTGTGGACTGGGATGCAATTTTCAGTTTCAAAGGTATTCATACTACTCTACAGTCATTTTAGTCTTTGCTAGTAAGAAAATTGCTAACTATTAGAACTTTCTAGACTGACAGAGACGATGAGAGTCATGGACAATGAAATATGCTTTCGTGCTAAGGAGTGTAAGTTTTCTTCCACCTGATATATTCTGTATTTGCGTTTGCTTCTACTCCCCTTGTAAAACCGGGTGGATTTTGCAGATCGTAATGTCCACAAGTTGTTTTCAACTCGAGCTGATCTCTATCGAACGGTCTACACGCATCCAAAAGTAAAGGTACAATTGTACCACTATCATTCTCTCTGTTCCATCTCTATTCTCTCTCTCTCTTTCCCACTTGCTTCATTACATTCATTTGCAGGCAATAGAGCTTATGATCGTAGATGCCATGGTGAAAGCCAACGATTACTTAGGGATTTCTTGTAACATTGATGACCCATCTGAATACTTGAAGGTACATTACCTTCCTCAAGAGATGAATCTTTCCCTTTGTGCAACAGCTTCTATTGCTGTTGTCTATATAAGGCTTTGTTCTCATCAATTGCAGTTGGACGATACAATCCTCAAAACCATTGAAATAGCTCCAGATCCAGAACTTGCAGAAGCTAAAGAGCTGATTCTCCGCGTTCGCAGAAGGCAGCTGTACCAAGTAAAAATACAGTTTTACCTTTTTTCTCCTCATTTTTATGCTTAATTAGTTTTGACATTTCTTTCCTGAAAAAGCTGGCTTTTCGTTTACGTGCAGTTCTGTAACGAGTATGCGGTTCCAAAGGACAACATCGAACATTTCAAGTCCGTCACTGCCCAAGATATCATCTGCTCGCAGGTTTGTAATCTTTAACACTTGGCTAAATAAGAGGGAAACTAATTACAGCCCATTGCTATATACTTATCACTTTTCATTTAGCAGAAGCATACAAGCTTAACATTGAAAGAAGAAGATATCGCTGTTACAAACGTGAAGATTGATTTAGCTCGTGGAAGAGAGAATCCTCTGGAATGGTAAGTAAACAAACGCTATTTTAGCTTCTTTTGTTAATTCAACCTTCGCTAATTAAAGATCTAACCAACTTATCTTTTTTGTGGGAATTTTCACCATCAGCATCAACTTCTTCAAGGTACATAATGATCTCTCTTCTTGTTACATATCTGCTTCTAAATTGTATGTGTAAAGAGGAAAAATTGAAAATAACATAGAATCTGAATACGGATTTTTCAGGATTATGAGAGTGAAGAGAAGTTTGTGATACCTGACGAACGTGTTAGTCACTTGTTACCAACAACATATCAAGACATGATAGTGAGAGTATATGCCAAAAAACCAGAATTGGTCTGTGATCAATCTTTAATTAACTCTTGGTATTATCATCTCATTACTTCTGTTTTAAACACAAGTAACGGTTTTTGTTTGTCGGTCTGCAATTGCAATGTCAACAGGTAGAAGCAGTTTCTGAGGCGTTCGAGAACTTCCAAATGAGAACGTATGGAATCAAAGCTCAAGTCCACGAAACGCCTGAGAAAAAGAAACGGCGCGTGATGTGATGAGTGGTGACTAAAACCCGCTTACGTGCTGACCATTATTCACTTCATGGGTTTTTTCTCTCTGTCTTCAAAACTATAATTACGGAGGTGTGTATATACTACTAGCACACGTATAGGATTTTTACAATACGGTGGCATTTTGGTGAATACCAAAGCCTTGGACCTAGACAGTGTCTCTTTATACGTAGGAGGAAAAAGGACATCAGGCACTTTTCTTACTGATTCGTAATTCGCATGGTTTTTGCTCTCAAGCTGTGTTTGTCACAGCTTTGCAGGTTCTGTGGTTTATCGTCTACTTGCCGCATTTTATTTTTGGCGATTTTTTTAAAAGCACTTTTCTTTTTATTCTCCAAAACACATGTTTTGGTGGCATTTTTTGGAATTTATATTTGCCTTTTAAAACGTTATTGTCAAATCTTCGGCAGTCAGGAAGGTGGGGAAACTCTGCGAATTGTCTGGGGTGGGGCCAATTTTGATATTTTTCTATTGGTTCAAAAATCAAAAGCTGTGAATATGACAGTCGTCAGTCTCAGTATTTTATAGGCATAGCTCGTAATGAATGTGGTATAGTTTTACAAGGCTGCAAAAAATTTAAATAAATGGATCGTCATACGATATTAAATTTCTAACTCATAATTTTTTTATTAAGAGATTTTATAATTTTGCCATTAGACCAAAAAGACTTACTAAAATTTTAAGGTGCAATTTTATTTTATGAAAGTAAAGAGTGGTAAAAATGGGTTTACTCTTTCACGGTAAAAACGTTAGGAAACAGCTTATCATGGATTCTCGTGAATATTGAAGAAATTAAATTGGTTCGGTAGATGAAGTTAATTACACAGAATTTGTAACCCATGTTCACTTTTCTAGAATTTGAATAGTTTACTTTATCGTATCTAAGGCATATAACTCGTAATTAAATTGTCACATAAAAAAAAAACCACAAGTATTTTTCTTAAAAGACTTGTTTTCGTGACATTTTTGGAGTTTTGTTTTCCTTCTACAACGTTTTAGTCAAATCAGTGGGGAAATTCGGCGAATCACCTGGGTGGGGCCAATCTTGGAATTCCCTCTGATGTTTTTTCATTGGTTCAGATGTTTCATACAGATATTGTAGCCCAAGATAGTGTCATTAATTTATTATAATAATATTGTTCGCTCATCATAAACATTATTTTAATATCATTTAGAATACAGATTTTGTAGCCCTAACTCACTTTCTTGTATTTAAATAGTTTATCTAACAAGTTACGAAATCGCATTGACTAAGCCGTAACAACCAACGAGTGTTTGTTCTAATATCCAAAATAAGGCATATACATAAAGGGAATATAGATTTCACACAAAAGAACAAAGAAACTGAAAAGAATATAAACATAACAAAAGCCGAAAATGTAAGCAGCAGAACTACAATATTCCGTCAAAAATCGTTTCACACCAAAAAGAATGGGGAAAAATAATTCCTGACAAACCAATCCATATCTCCTAAAATTTCCAGAAACTAGGAAAAAAAAAACATTGTGGAAGTCTTTATTAAAAAAAAGTATACCAAACCAAAAAAAAAAAAGCCGAAAGGATTAAAAAAGCCTACACATACACACAAATGTGCATGTATATGTACGTTTGTGAAGTTCCAAAAACACCCAAACTTTAAACTCTCCCCGACGCCGGAATCTCAATTTCCGATGGCTTCTCGGTTTTGTCCTTTGGAGTAGCTTTGAAGTAGAGACCATAGACTATTAGCTGAGATGCACACAACAACGTTCCAAGACCATTGCTTATCTGTATACACAAATAATTGAAAAACGTTAGAAAACTCATATCTAATTAAAATTAAAAAAAAATTATAATGAATAAACAACAAAAACTCACAAGGACGTAGAGATCGAGTTTGTAGATCAAAGAGTAAGATGTCCAAATACAAGCGTTGACGAAGCTAACGAAAGATAACCAAAACGGCATGTACTCAACGCTTCTCGTCTGCACAACTTTTTTCTATTGTTTCACACAAAAACAAATTAATCAAAACTCATAATTAACAAATATTTTTCAACCATCATCAATGAGATATTTATATATAGAGAAGGAAAAAAGAAAAACTTACGATGACAAGTGAAGGAGCTCCATACATAGCAATGTTGAAGACATCACAGATAACACCAACGAATGTTTGTTTAATCGCAGCGTCTTTAATTGCAAAGAGCGTAATCAAAACAATCCCCGCCACAGCAATAACCTCAGCAACGAGACATAAAGTAATATTCCTCTGCACACACACACATAAACATGTTTTATCAATAATAATCATCACTAATTAATCAAAGGAATATTCATTCAAGATTGTGAGCAAAAATATACGCGGAAGTTCTTCACGCTGCCACAGTAGATCAAGAAGACAGTTATGTAGAAAGCTTCGAACCCCATACCGACTCCGTTAATGGTGGTAACAAGGATACTATCCTTGTGAACAACAGGGAGTCCATAGAAAACCCAAAGCATACAGTTCATCATCGTTGCTACATAAGGATATGGCTGAAACTCCTCAACGGATTTCTTCTTGTAGATCCTCCAAAACGTTGGCCTGTTTACATATAAATCATCATGTTAAAATCTACAAAAAGAAAACGTTTCATATATATTGAAGATGAAAAGAGATGTTACATTGGGGAGAAGAAGAGACCAAAGGAAACAACATTCCCTGAAATCAAAAGACAGAGAATAAAGAAGATTAATTAGGATATGATCCGCAATTAGAGTTGACCTAAACACATAATCTATGGAATTAACGATCAATTAAGATTCAATAAAGCATGTTTTATGAAACTTCTTCGCATTCAATTTAAAACGATGGAAGCTGTATCGGTTTAAAATCTAATAACATATGAAGAGATCCGCCATGAGAATCAAACTCAACACGCATAACACATGAATAAATATGCATAAACGATCGATTCAAATCTACTAATCATTCAAATCTCATGAACACCGAGCGAGGCTATATTTGATTTTCAAATCAATAGAACATATGAGAGAAGAGATCCGCCATTAGCGTAAAGCTCAACACACAAAATACATGACTAACGATCGATTAAAACCCCATTAAACTATAACTTTCTCGGAACCAAATCACTGTTAAAACTACATTTAATCGCTACGGAGTAAATCAGGAAAACATACAGAGATTAAGCTAATCGATATTGTTAAAGAGAGAGAGAGATAAGAGATCATACCGATAACTCCGATGATGGTACGAATCTGCTTAGCGTCAACCATTGTGAAATCGAACGAAGAGACGGAGATTAACGAAGAGCGAAAGAAGAAGACGAAGTGTAGAAGAAAACCTAATCGAGAGAGAGACTATGAGGAGGTATATGTGTGTGTGTGCTGAATATATAAAGGATATAAGGGTATATATATGTGAATATGTATATATAGAGAGAGAGAGATATAGATAAGAGAGACGTTTGAGTCAAGGAGTCAATACATTCCCTAAAGTTTCGTCCAATCCAAATCTTTTGGTTTGTTACGATCTCTCTTGCGAATTAATCTCCACGTTTAAAAAATTATTTTTTCTTTAAAACACAACGATAATTACTTAAATTCTTCCGTAAATCCTATTTTTTCATTGAGTTGGTAAGGCTGTTTCAACGGGTATTTAATGCGAATTAATGTGTTTTAAAATTTAGCAGCGTTTTTTTGGAATTATCCAGATTTTTATCCAAAACTAGTAGATTTTTATCGTGTTTTGACCAGAGATTATCTTAATTAATACACTATAAATTCGTATTTATGGTAATGTCAGCGTATTCTGCAAGTATAATAAGCCTGTTGATTTTTTTTTCTTAAGAATGTAATAATGTCGGATACTTTTTGTATAGCACATGATTTTCAAACATATCCATAATAATACTAATTTTTATCCGGAAGAAAAGAAAAAAACTAAGAAGATATTTTTTTTGGAGAAACTGTAAGAAATGGATTCAATTAATATCAAAATTAATCGATAGCTTTCGACAGAAACTTGACAACTTTTTATATCTACTGTTTCTAATAAAAAGATTATTATATCCTTACTCATTTGTAAAAAAAGGAAAGAAAAAAAGAAAAAGAAAAAAGAAAAAAATCGAAAGGAAAGATGGGATAGTGTCGATGTTATCAATGGTGGCGGTGGTTAGTGGTGGTGGTGGTGGATGACGGTAGTGGTGGTTGATGGTGTTGATGGAATCGTCGGCGGTTGTGACAGTGGTGGTGGTGGTGATAGTCGATGATAGGGTGGTGTTGGTGGTGATGTTGGCGATGGTCGGGGGTGGCGAAAGTATTGTCGGTAGTGGTGGTGATGGAGACATTGGTGATGGCGGTGATGGAGTTACCGGCGGTGATGGTAGTGGTGTTGGTTGATGATGGGGTGGTGTTGGTGATAGCCGGTGATGGTGATAGTCGGCGGGTGAAAAATTGTGATATAAACATAATTTTTTAAGTTTTATAAACATGACACTTCAGCAAAAATAATCACCAATCAAAACATTTTATAAATACATCTCATCTACTTATTTTAAATTTTTAAAAACCCATTAAAAATCCAAATATTTTTTCTATTAATTTTGTTTTATTTTTTACCAAACTCAAGCCCAAATAATTAATAACAGCAAATAAAAAAATACTATTTTATTTTTTAACAAATCCAAACTCAAATAATAAATAAAAAAAATAAAAAAATTACATCATTGTTTTCTTTTTTTGCCAAAACTAAATCTAAATAATAAATAACAACAAATAAAAAAAAAAAAATTTAGTTATCTATTTGTTTGATATAGACGTATATGATTAAAAAAATGTATGCTCAACATCAACTATGCTTCTATGACAACAACGCAAAAACTTTATGTTATAAGAAGCTCACACATCAGCAAAAATTTGAACCAATAAAAATATAACAATTTTTTAGTTTTCGCGGGAAATTGTAGTTTATTTGTTTTTGTAGGAAAGCGTGATTCTGCACTTAATGATATTTTTTTTTTGGCAAGAATAGACGATTTTTCAGTTTTCGTAGGAAAAATAAATTTTTCGATTTTGGCAAAAAATGCAATTTTTTTTTATTTTTGCAATTTTTTGGGTTTTGTGAAAAAACGTAATTTCTCGGCTTTGGTGGAAAAACACAGGTTCTCGCCGGAAAATGTAAGTTTAGGTTTTAGGTTTGACGAGAAAATGAATTTTTTGGTTTTGGCGCGAATAGCCGATTTCTCAGTTTAATGGGAAATGAAGTTTTTTTGTTTTTACAGAAAATGCGATTTCTTGATTTTTCTAAGAAAAGAAATTTCTTAATGCTAAATTTCCAAGTTAAAGTATGTTTACAGTAACCAAAATTTAATTATTTAACTTTAACTAAAATAATATTTTAAGAGTTCAAACATAATTTTCTATTTAGTTCTAAAGCAATTGTAATAGTTTTGATATGAATGTTATTGATGATAGTTTGGTAGTTTTTAGAAACATATGTTTATAATAAAATATTTGATAAATAAATAAATTTATAATTCAAAATAATCAATTTAATTAATAAATCTTTTTTTAAATGATATTTTGCTTTATATAATTACAAAGGAAGATCATGTGGCAATTTATTGGAGAAAATAGATTACATTTGCCATTAGCATGAAGGTACGAAAAAATGTATTGCTTTATTCTTATATATTTTATTCCTATATACATTTATAATTAGTTAGCTAACTAAATTTAATAGCAAATTATAATTTTGAAAAAATATATATATAAATATAATATTTATTCAGATTTAAAACATATAAATATATAACTTAAGCTAATAAAAAATAAATATAATACTCATTTACATTATAAAAATAATTTTATTATATTAAAAATATATACAAAAATTAGAAAAATATCCCGCAGCATAGCGCGGGTAAATACCTAGTTTGTATAATATGCTAATCAAACATCATATTAATTAGCATGATAACACAGTTAACATGATAACTATTGTGTTAACGTGCTATTTATTTTAATGTGCTAATAGAGTATCATATTAATTATCGTAGTTAACACAGTTATCATAATATCATATTAGTTAGCATGATAATCAAATTGTTATTCACCAAAACCACATCAAATAATTATAAGAACAAATAGTCATAACTTCTCTATATAATATGTATCGGCCTAATTATCAATTATTGGTTCTAAATCTTTAATTTTGTAATTAATTTGGACCATTTACTCAATTTTTCCTTTTTTAAGCTATTATTTTATATCTTTGAATACGGAAATTACTTGATCGGCCGACAAAAAAAGAGTGTATGATTTGATTACAATATATATTAACTAATTAATAATCATTTCATTATTATTATTATTTGTTTGCATAAACGTTTTATCATCTTTTAGAAATATATATATACCATTCATATATATGAAAGAAATTCAGAATTTGTTAGCGGTCCGTACTATTTGTTACACGCCACGTCAGAATTCTGTTTCTGAAATTACTTATAGGTCTTAATTTTCAATGTAATTACGAGATTTTCAGTCAACCGTACAATTCACAACAAACACATGCAGAATCTACTAGCGATACCGTGGGACTTGCTGCCCAAGGAATATAAACCGACTTAATGGTTAATTCAACTTTTTATATCGGTTTTGCAAAACAATTCCGGTTTAGTCGTAAAGATACATAAATAAGATTGTCTTCAGGGTCAAACGTTTGACTTTGAGTCAACTTCAGATTTCAACGTCTAGTGTATTTTCCTATAAAAATGAGCATAAGCTATTTATTGTGGTCAAATACACAGATACAAATGAGAGTATATATATTTCTTCTCGAATATAGTTTCACTATATATATCTATCATCTTTGTATATCCACAAAACAATTTAAAAAAAAACAAAAACAAAAATATGCAAAAATCAGAAATAATAAAATTGTTGGGAGTGTATTTGGTCTCTAACCAGACCGCGACACGTAGATAACACATTTGTTGGAATCGTTCTCGAAATATCGACGGATTGGTTTCCCGAACAATCAATTTTACAACGGATCCAAGCAAAATATTTATGGCATTTTGCTAAAGAGGGAAAACCCAAGAGATAATTGCTATGTGCTTTGTGATAGCCAAGTTGCACCAACCTCTGTTTTTATCAATCTATTCAAATGAATTTGCACAAATAGAGTCTATGTCATTATTTTGTGGATAGAGTGTTAGTTAAGAAACACGCAACAGTTCATATGTAGATCAAGTTGGATTTGTAGTAGAGGCTAAAGAGCATAGACTATTAGCTGAGAGAAATCAAATTAAGTTTGTAGATCAATTTATTAATCAAATGATTCAAATCAAACTTAGTTGAGAATCACACAGCACCATTGCTAGACCATTGCTTATAATATATATAGTTAGTTATATACCATAAACACACAAAAACGTTACAAATCGAATCAATCTATATATTAATAAAAAAATGTAAAAAGACAAATACTTACGAGGACGTAGAGATGAGTTTTGTAGATCAAAGGATAATCACTAAGCAGTCCATATCACAGTGTTAATGAAACTAACGAACGATAACTAAAACGACGTGCACTCAACAATTTTCCTCAGCACTACATTTTTCTCTTGTTTCACACAAGAGAAGCAATTTATTCATCAACATTCCATTTGTTTCAAATGCCTTTTTTAATTACACCAACATTTTTAATTAAACAAATGATTTATAGGTAGATTTGGTATGTTGGGCTTTGGTGATGGAAAATCAAATCTACACTGGGCTTGAACCGGAGCTGGTTATACTCGATTGGAGGTGCTGGTTATTAGTTTTCTTTTTGGTTTACGGTTTAGTTTAGTAACCGGTTAATCCTTTGTAATAGATTTCAGTATATAGCTGAAGCGTGAACGTCTTCTCTCTTTGATCGGAAATTGATTGTAACAGAGAGAGAGAAGAAACTTGTAATCGAGTGAGTGATCTAGTGGATTGCTTGGATCTCCAGGCCGAGATGTAGAATTTCTCATTCAGAGAATCCGAACTCGTTAAATCTCTGTATACTTTCTTTCTTTGTTTCGTGTTATTTCGTTCTTGAGTGAGTTGTGAGCAAAGAGAAGTCAAATCGGAGTTCAAAGATCGACGGAAGCTTTCTTAGTTTTGCGATTCAAGTTACAACAAGTGGTATCAGAGCTTCGTTGGAGCGATGAGCGAAGCAATGGCGAAGGTCACAGTCGCCGAGTTCGATGGTACTGGAGACTTCTCGATGTGGAAGAAAAGGATGCTTGCGCATCTGTCACTCATGGGATTAAAGGATGTCTTGATCGAGACGATTCCAGAAGCAAATGCGATAAAGAAAGGAGAAGATCCAGAAGCTTTCAAAGAAAGATTACAGCTTGAGGAAATCAACAGGCTCGAGC